CAAAGAATGCTCCAACTACCGTACAATTGCACTCATTTCACACGCTAGCAAGGTTATGCTCAAAATCCTACAAGGTAGGCTTCAGCAGTATGTGGACCGAGAACTCCCAGAAGTACAAGCTGGATTCCGAAGAGGCAGAGGAACTCGAGACCAAATTGCTAACTTGCGCTGGATTATGGAGAAAGCCAGAGAGTTCCAGAAAAATATCTACTTCTGCTTCATTGACTATGCAAAAGCCTTTGACTGTGTGGACCACAGCAAACTATGGCAAGTTCTTAAAGAAATGGGAGTGCCTGACCACCTTATCCATCTCCTGAGAAACCTATATGTGGGACAGGAAGCAACAGTTAGAACTGGTCATGGAACAACTGAGTGGTTCAAAATTGGGAAAGGAGTACGGCAAGGCTGTATATTGTCCCCCAGCTTATTTAACTTATATGCAGAATACATCATGCGGAAGGCTGGACTGGAAGAAACCCAAGCCGGAATTAAGATTGCCGGAAGAAATATCAACAACCTCCGATATGCAGATGATACCACTCTGATGGCAGAAAGTGAGGAGGAATTAAAGAACCTTGTAATGAGAGTGAAAGAGGAAAGTGCAAAAAACGGTCTGAAACTCAACATCAAAAAAACTAAGATCATGGCCACTGGTCCCATCACCTCCTGGGAAATAGAAGGGGAAGATATGGAGGCAGTGTCAAATTTTATTTTCCTGGGCTCCATGATCACTGCAGATGGAGACAGCAGCTCTGAAATTAAAAGACGCCTTCTTCTTGGGAGGAAAGCGATGACAAATCTTGACAGCATCTTGAAAAGCAGAGACATCACCTTGCCGACAAAAGTCCGAATAGTCAAAGCTATGGTTTTTCCTGTCGTGATGTATGGAAGTGAGAGCTGGACCATAAAGAAAGCAGACCGCCGAAGAATTGATGCCTTTGAATTGTGGTGCTGGAGGAGACTCTTGAGAATCCCCTGGACTGCAAAGAGAACAAACCTATCAATTCTAAAGGAAATCAACCCTGAATGCTCACTTGAAGGACAGATCCTGAAGCTGAGGCTCCAGTACTTTGGCCATCTCATGAGAAGAAAAGAGTCCTTGGAAAAAACCTTGATGTTAGGAAGGTGTGATGGAAAGAGGAGAAGGGGACGACCGAGGATGAGATGGCGGGACAGTGTCTGCGAAGCAACCAACATGAACCTGACACAACTCCGGGAGGCAGCAGAAGACAGGAGGGCCCGGCGTGCTCTGGTCCATGGGGTCACAAAGAGTCGGACACGACTAAACGACTAAACACACACACATCTATCTATCTATCTATCTTTCTGTCCGTCCGTCTGTCCGTCCCCCCCCTTGCCTTTTCCCCTAGCGGAATGGGCAAAATTCCAGCTAAACACCTGTGAGAACAAGATCAAAACTACACAAAAGATATAGTTCACTGTACTTTTGACAAATATTAAAGATAAACAATGTGATTCCCACTCATCTCCAGCCTAAACAAAAGAAAAACAAACAGGAAAAAAAGGAAGAAAATCTCAAAATCCCATAGTGTTGTGTTCATGCCATTCTTCTTACTACTTCGTACCATTAGATGGAGCACAGAAAGTGCATAATGGAGTAGCTTCTGGATCACGACCCTTCCTGGTACCTTGTGAAACTTTGTCCCCATGTGTGTTTAGTCGTTTAGTCGTGTCCGACTCTTCGTGACCCCATGGACCAGAGCACGCCAGGCCCTCCTGTCTTCTACTGCCTCCCGGAGTTGTGTCAGGTTCATGTTGGTTGCTTCGCAGACACTGTCCAGCCATCTCATCCTCGGTCGTCCCCTTCTCCTCTTGCCATCACACCTTCCTAACATCAAGGTTTTTTCCAAGGACTCTTTTCTTCTCATGAGATGGCCAAAGTACTGGAGCCTCAGCTTCAGGATCTGTCCTTCAAGTGAGCATTCAGGGTTGATTTCCTTTAGAACTGATAGGTTTGTTCTCATTGCAGTCCAGGGGATTCTCAAGAGCCTCCTCCAGCACCACAATTCAAAGGCATCAATTCTTCGGCGGTCTGCTTTCTTTATGGTCCAGCTCTCACTTCCATACATCACGACAGGAAAAACCATAGCTTTGACTATTCGGACTTTTGTTGGCAAGGTGATGTCTCTGCTTTTCAAGATGCTGTCAAGATTTGTCATCGCTTTCCTCCCAAGAAGAAGGCGCCTTTTAATTTCAGGGCTGCTGTCTCCATCTGAAGTAATCATGGAGCCCAGGAAGATAAAATTTGACACTGCCTCCATATCTTCCCCTTCTATTTCCCAGGAGGTGATGGGACCAGTGGCCATGATCTTAGTTTTTTTGATGTTGAGTTTCAGACCATTTTTTGCACTCTCCTCTTTCACTCTCATTACAAGGTTCTTTAATTCCTCCTCACTTTCTGCCATCAGAGTGGTATCATCTGCATATCGGAGGTTGTTGATATTTCTTCCGGCAATCTTAATTCCGGCTTGGGTTTCTTCCAGTCCAGCCTTCCACATGATGTATTCTGCATATAAGTTAAACAAGCTGGGGGACAATATACAGCCTTGCCGTACTCCTTTCCCAATTTTGAACCAATCAGTTGTTCCATGAGACAGATAAAGTGGTCAGGCACTCCCATTTCTTTAAGAACTTGCCATAGTTTGCTGTGGTCCACACAGTCAAAGGCTTTCGCCTAGTCAATGAAGCAGAAGTAGATATTTTTCTGGAACTCTCTGGCTTTCTCCATAATCCAGCGCAAGTTAGCAATTTGGTCTCGAGTTCCTCTGCCTCTTCGGAAAGCAGCTTGTACTTCTGGGAGTTCTTGGTCCACATACTGCTGAAGCCTACCTTGGAGGATTTTGAGCATAACCTTGCTAGTGTGTGAAATGAGTGCAATTGTGCGGTAGTTGGAGCATTCTTTGGCACTGCCTTTCTTTGGGATTGGGATGTAGACTGATCTTTTCCAATCCTCTGGCCACTGTTGAGTTTTCCAAACTGTTGAGTTTTCCAAACTGTTGAGTTTTCCAAACTGTTGAGTTTCCCATGGCTGGCTTTAAAGTTTGTACCCTAATATTTCTCAAGGAATTCTTCATTTATTAGTATCAGAGTAGTGGACAATCTAAAATTATGGGCACATATGAAATGTGGATGAAAATTAGAAACAAAGTAGAATGTAAAAATAATTAGACTATTTCTGATCAGAAGTGGTTTGCTTTAATAGTGTCATCTCGACTATTTGGTAGATCTTTTGTACACATGAAGAGGTATAAATTGCATGCACATAGATGTTGCATTGGTTGAAGACTGGGTAGATTTAGGATGTGATTAGATGGCGAATTGTGCCATGTGTTTGGGGTCCGGGTGGTTCTCTCCTTTTCCTGGCGGCCACTGTTTTGGAAATTATTGGTAATTCTTCAAATCTGCATCCTGATTAAATTCTTTGGAAATCCAGCTGAAGTCTTGTTTTGGAGTCCATCTGGTTCTCTCCTTTTCCTGGCTGCCACTATTTCTTGCATCCTGACCAAGTTCTTTGGAAATCCAGCTGAAGTCTCTCTACTCATCCACACAAAACTTCTACTTTTTGGTTGGCATTCCAAAATGAACACTGGAGCTGCTTCCTGCAGGCAACCCAGAAGATCTCAGATACAGTGGTGCCTCGCAAAGCGAAAAATCGCCATAGGGGCCATCGTTGAGCGAATGCTCCAGCAATGGCCCAGAGTGCCTCGTTAAGCGATTTCATTGCTCAGCGAGGCGCTCGTTAAGCGAGGCACCACTGTACTCATAAAGAGCAACGCCGCCATATTGGATTTCATTGACAAGACTGTTAGGAAAACTTGAGAGAAGTGAAATGGAAACGAAAGACAAGAAGCACAACAAAGGCATATGGGGCAGGGAGGAGGGAAAATCTTTCTTCCTCTTCCTATTCTTCTTCCTTGACTCACCTTTCCAAATATTCTCCTCAGATTAGGGACGGAGGTCATGTATAACAAGTTCATCTCAGGCTGGGAGACAGATCCCTCCTCTTCCTCCCCACACCTTTCCAAATGTCCTTCTCAGATTGAGAAGTGTCACAGCTATAGGATCGTTTTTAGAAGAAAAAGAGGGCAGGGTTCAAAGGAGAGAAGGCAAGCAACACAGACAACACCGAACATTAACACAGATGCAAACAAAGGACTGAGGAAGGGCAAAAGACTGCAAATCCTCCAACTCCTCTTTGGTTGAAGACGCATTGTCTTCATCCATTAACACATTATCTTATTCCATGGACACATTGTCAACCATCAGGGTGATGGGAGAAATTCTAGTAAGGTCTCTTCTGCTTGAAGGGGTACAACCGCCCCTTTTCTGAAAGCGAAAGGAGCATCTCAAAGGGTGTTTAGTGACACAGAAGATACACAAAGATCACGTGGTCAACTTCTATTTGCTGCACGTGCTCAGAAGATATGAATAGGACGATGTATTCGCGAAGGCTTTCACGGCTGGGATCTAATGGTTGTTGTGGGTTTTTCAGGAAGAACAACCTTCAGAACACGGCCAAAGAGCCCGAAAAACCCACATCAACCGTGCACAGGACGATCTGGGATTTGTGTTAATTTAAACTTGTTTCCAATATAGGGATTGGAGACAATGAAAATATGGCAGTCAGGAGAGAAAGATGTAAAGCAGAGCATTGATCTAAAGTATGGGGCATAACTGGTGTGGGATCATTGGTAAGGAATTGTTATCACATGATGCCTCACCCTTGAATTGCTTCTGGCCAGCGTCAAGGGGCATCTGAAACCGAGCTCCAGCAATAAGGATCTAGACCAAAGAGGAAGCGGGAATCAAAAGCAAGCTTCAAAGTTGAATTAATCTGCAAACAGAAACATTTTGAGAAGGTTTCAAGTGGTTTCAATGGGCTATCCAAAGCTGAGCTTTAACAATCTGGGGGACACCCGCAGGGAGATGTAGAACATTTCCTTGTAGTTTTGCCAGACGCAAAACTGTATAAATACCCAAGGTCTGAAAAATTCTCCCAAAGGTGGTCTGGTCCAATGTCCTCTTTCTTGAACCTTTGACTTCCTCGTGTACTGAGATTGGAGCCAACGTTGAGCCATGAAGGCTCTTTACCTTCTCCTGCTTGTTGTCTTCTTGGCTTTCCGGGTTGAGAGCAACCCAAAACCAACAACTCAGGCGGATGTAAAGGTCCCTGAAGGTCCTGCTATTCAAGCTGATGGTAAGTGGTTGGAACAAGGATTTGTCTGCTAAAGACTATGGGATGTGCAAGCATCCTAGGGTGAGATGTGGAATGACCATCATACATCAGCTAGACAGTGGTTCTTAACCTTTGTTACTCAGGTGTTTTTCAACTGCAACTCCTAGAAACCCCAGCCAGCAGAGCTGATGGTGAAGGCTTCTGGGAGTTGCAGTCCAAAAACATCTGAGTAACAAAGGTTAAGAACCAGTGAGCTAGAACATAAGGTGGCAAGACATGGTCATCTACATGGTCATATCATGTTTAATCTGGCATTCTTGGGGTGAAAAATAAAAAAAATAAAAAAGATGTATCACACAAGAAAAGGGAAATTGCAGTGTAAGGAAGATTGAGCTAATAATAAAGGAGAAGGTGACTGAAAGCTGAACCCCCACCACTGAAGGCCAATAACTCTCATACTTTAGCTACTGAGGTGCTAGGGAAGGCCTCCGAGTGAGGTCACCAGACTATAGCAGCTGTTATCAGCATATTTTTAGCTTTAGTGCAAAGCGAGGAACCTCAGTGGAGTATGATCCTGTTGAGATAGAGGACACTTATGGAGATGGACTGTTGAGTCCTTCTGCCGGAGTCTGAACTTAATTTTAGGATGCTTAGGGCTGTCTTCTTCTCTCTCTCTGGCTTCTTTTTTCTTGTTAGTGAGCTGGTACTAGTTCTACAGTTTCTCATAGTGATCTTCATCTCCATTTCCTGTTCTTTTGGCTAAAGGTGGGCCAATAATTCTGCCAGAAAGAATTCTGATGTTGCTGTGTAATCACCTCCATTCATAGCCATTTGCATTCCATCATTCACGAGAAAGCAGCTTTTCGTGGAGACTTGGAGGTTCATAAATATTGGCATGGGAATTGAGAGGAACCGGGCTGGAGTATTCCCAAATAGCATAAGGTGTCCCCCTGGGCAGAAGAAAGAGTGTCCATGGGAGGTCCCCACAAAACTAAAGAAAGCAAAGTGACTCACACTGTAGGTATGGAGAAAAAGAATAATTAAAAAAAGAGAGAGAGGAAAGTTCTGTATACCTGGAGGTTTTCATCAGTCCACTTTTCATTTTTTGTAAGAATACTTGTTTCTGGAAGAATACAACTCTAATTTTAATTTTACCTTGTATACATTGAGTAATTGTGCAATTACTATCTTGAGGGAGGTGTTTTCTCAACGACCGGTTATCTGAGCAGGGATTTTTAAGAGACTGCACATTACAAAAGACAACAAAAAGATGGGGCTTATTTGACAAATGGCTAGAGTCATCAGATAGTGCTTGAATAACATAGATCTAAGTGTGAACTAAAATATGGAAGACAGAAAATAGCAGAACAGCACAGTATGAATCTTGATATTGCAATATGAATAGCATGGATGTTAGTATATTTTTATTTCTCCTCCCCCTCTAACCCCAATCCTCTTTCCTTCCCTTTTACCTTCTGGATCCCATACCCCAACCCAAGTTATCCAAATAATAAAAATAATTTAAATAAAGAGATTGCTGAGTTCTGTTGATTTTAATTTTTTAGTACTGATTTTAATTACCATTTTATTTATTTATTTATTTATTTATGCAATTTTACCCCGCCCCTCTAGACAACGTCTACTCAGGGCGGCTTACAAAAATTAAAACACATTAAAACAATGTAGAAAATAACTAGCATAATGCAATTATTATAATTTTAAATTTAATACTTGCTTAATGCATAATAAAAATAATTTAAAAAAAGAGATTGCTGAGTTTTGTTGCTTTTAATGTTTTAGTACTGATTTTAATTACCATTTATTTAATACTTGCTTTCAAAATATTTGTATATTTACTGTTTTAGTGTTTAAATATATTGCCTTTTTAACCATGTAAGCTGCCTTGGGTCCTTTTAAGGAGAATGTTAGGGTAAAATGTTTTAAAGAGTAAAATAAATAATTGTTCCTAGGGTTTTCTAGGTATAAAGAACACAAAAGTGTTTTACTGTTCATATTTTCAGGGGTGTGTGTGTGCCCTGAGGTTGTACAGGTTGCCCAAAGCTACACAGGCTGGCTTTCCCCCCGGGAGGCACAGTGGGGAACTGAACTACCAACACATAGATAACTCCCTGATCTATCCAGCCTGGTACATCTGTATCTGCTCCCATGCTCTACTCTATAATAAATAGCGACCATAATCATCCTCATTTTCTTTTTTCTTCATGCAGAAGACGACCTTAAGGACGAACCAGCTCAAAAGTTTCGAGCAATTCGGAGATCTTGCTCTAATGGGAGAGGGTATTGCCTACCCCGGCAATATTTCTGTGCTCTCGGTTTAATGTTCAAGGAGGAATACAACGACTGCCCCCAAAGGGGGAGAAACAAATGCTGCCTGGCAAGAAGAACTGGCTAAGATGCTGAAATCTTTGGGAAGAATTGATTCAGGATTCTTCGATTAACAAGAACAACCTGTTGTTCGACATTTAATAAATTGTCTACTGAGTGCAGTTCCCTGTCTTCAGAACCTTGTCTGGGGTTGTCTTAACATGCAGTGTCTGTCAAAGGCCCGCAGCTGGAAGGGAACCTGTGACTCATTGAGTCCAGCCTCTGTCAAGGATGCACAGCGGGAATTGAACTCCCAAATAGAGATGGGCACAAAGCGTTTTATCATGCTTTGGTCCAAGTTCTCTCTCCCTCCCCCTGGGTTGGCTGCCCCATCCTGGTAGGAGCCCAGCATCCCTGCTCCACTCCTCTGGCAGCCGACCGCTCAATGGCTTCTCAGGGAGAATCCTCATCCTGCCTTCTTGTCTGAGCGGTCAGCTGCTGGAGGAGGCAGGGCAGGGAAGTCCGGGTTTCTGTCTGGACTGGACAGCTGATGTAGGGGGAACAACATGGCCAGCTCACAGAGGTTTGTGAGTGGGGCAGCCAGCTGGAGGGGAGAGAACGCACAGCATTTGTGGTGCCACACATACAAATTGGGCCAAAGTGCGACAAAGCACTTTGTGTCTATCTCTACTCCCAACCTCTGGCTTCACAGGTAGGGACCTAAACCATTGAGCTAAAGATGATTTTAGTTAGCATTTTCCAGTAAAAAAAATTCTCTGCAGTAGAAAGGACATTCATACTCAGTTCCTGAGATCTTCAGGTTAAAATAATAATAATAATAATAATTTTGTGGTGGCATTTCAGTTCTGACTTCTGTTAAGCATTTTCAGCATTTTCTAAGTAGAGAGTGTTCAGAAGTGGTTCACCACTCCCTTCTTCGGGGAACGCCCTGGGAATATGCAGCTTGCCCAAGGCTACACAGGTTGGCTCAACTCACTCTACAGCCAGAGACTTAGTTCGCTGAGCTATCCAACCAGTTTCCTTCAAGTTCAAGTCATTCTTTTTAAACGAGAATTCCTAGAAACTTCCATCCAAAATGGCTGCAGCCGGTTGTTGTCGGCAAAGTAGCATTTTCAATTTCTGAACGCCCTGGGAATATGCAGCTTACCCAAGGCTACACAGGTTGGCTCAACTCACTCTACAGCCAGAGACTTAGTTCGCTGAGCTATCCAACCAGTTTCCTTCAAGTTCAAGTCATTCTTTTTAAACGAGAATTCCTAGAAACTTCCATCCAAAATGGCTGCAGCCGGTTGTTGTCGGCAAAGTAGCATTTTCAATTTCTGCAGAGCCTTGTTGGAGATCCAACAGGAAGGAGCAGAGGTTTGGGCAGGTTTTGCAAGAGGTCAGTAAGAGTTTCTGGCCCTCAGTCATCCAACACTACCAGTAACTCAAAAGCTGGATGTTTCTTAAAATGAATGCTGAGAGGGAAGCGGGGAACCAGGTGAGGATTTTTCTCCAAAAAGACATGTGAGTTTTATTCTTTTGCTCAGCAAAGCAAAATCCAAGCCAAGCCTGCTGCTTATATACCACCCCACAGTGCTTAAAACATTCTCTGGGCAGTTCACAATCTAATTATTGTAATTATTTCTCAAAGCGTCTACCCATCGCACCTGCACCTCTTGTATTGGGAGACTCCAAGGGTCCACCTCGGGGGAGGCCCAGAAATCAGTCTCTTGAGACCAGGCCTTCTCTGTGGTGGCCCCTTCACTTTGGAACTCCCTCCTGCCAGAGCTGCAATAGGTCCCAGCCCTCCTGGGTTTAAGGAGGCAACTGAAGACCTGGCTGTTTTCCCAAATCTTTAAATAGTCTGCTCTTGATTAAGCAATGTTATCTGTTCCTTCTGCCCCTGCCCACCATTACTTTTTCTTTTCTCTTTTGTGGTTCCTGTATCTATGTCTGGAACCCCTTTCCCCCCACAGTTTTAGTGTTCCTTCCATGATTGTACATGATGGTGTGTTCTTCTGTTAGCCACCTAGAGTAGTTGGGTAGGATATAAACAAGTGAGCAAGCAAGGAAGGAAAGAACGAAGGAAAGAATCGAGCAACAAACAAATAATTCAGGCTGCAGAATACTCCCCTCCTCAAGCTGGATGTTCAATTTACTGACTCAATGATTCAATTTACTCAGAAAGAGTCTGTGAGCAGAGTCTACACTGCAGTACTGCAGTGTAACCACAAGGTTCAGGCCAGAGCACAAGGTATGTCCACCTGGATGGACATTAGAGATGGGGACAAATTTAAAAAAATGGCAATTCGTTTAGATCTCTTATTCATCAAGGTTAATGCATCAACGAATACAAATACCGTATACAAATATTCTTCAACGAATCGACGGATCGATCTGTCAATTGATTGTTGTGGGTTTTTCGGGCTCTTTGGCCGTGTTCTGAAGGTTGTTCCTCCTAATTGATCTGTCAATTCATTCGCACTTTAAATGGCTATAACACTGCCCCCTGATCTGTCAATTCATGGCTATAACACTGGCCCCTGATGACCTAAAGACACCAAATTTGCAGGGAAAACTTCCACTCTGTGTTTCTACAATTCCTGAAAGTTTAGTGAACATTGGATCACGAACCCCTGAGTTATATAGTTACAAAGAGGAACCCTCCCCCCAGGAAAGCTTCCCCCAGGTACTTAGAGAATCCAGAATCACATCGGCGATTCCTATGTCTTTCCCCAACATGCCTGCCAACTTTGGTGAAAATTGGATATTGGAGCTCTGAGTTATTCGCCCACAAATTGGGTCCCCCCAGGACTGAGGTAGTTGGCAGCCGGAAAGCAGGCTTTGGGGCCCCATCGGGGCACTGAGGCAAAAGGCAGCAGAGCAGACTCTGGTCTTCTTCAGCAACATCAGGTTTGCTTGCAAAGGAAAGATTTTTGCCCCCAGGAGGCAACTGAGGTTGCTTGCAACTTCCAACCACATCAGCAGCACCATCAGATGAACAAGGTCGGTGCTACTAACCGCGGTTAATCCATGGGGCTGTGGGGCTGTCGGAAACAGATCAGCTCTGCAATCTGAAGC